TTTCTGCTGATAAATTGCAATACAGACAGATCCCATTTTTTGTAATAGTTCATCAATTCTTTCATATCGTCTAATTTGCCATTCTCAATGCTGTGACAGAGTTCTTCAAGACTTAAAATAGACTCTTCAGGTTTTTTTGGACCTACAAGTTGCTCTAGACAGTGGAGCAGATGATCATTCGTTGACAATTCATTCTGCTTCATAAACTCTATAAAGCAGTGACACTCGATAATAATAGCGCGCTGTAGCGAAATCGTTATGTTCTCATTATCATCGACCTCTGCCCAGTCCATAAACTCCAAACAATCAACTTGCTTGATTTGATTTAGAAGTAGAGTAATCAATTCTTGATCCAGTGTTGCTATGATAGACTTTACCTTGTCGATAGTAAGCTTACAAAAATAATCCGAACGGCCGTCATTATTACCATATGTGATCTCGAACAATCTCAATCGATCATTTTTGATCGGGAAGTTTTTAGTCTTGTAGCGCATGCACATTCTGATATAACGAAGCATATCTTTTAGAAGAATACCGTGTTGCAGATATTTTTCCTGGTTAGATGACTCGAGGGAAACAAATTTGGAGCTGACAACATCTAATAATGTTTGAAAGTGCGCTACTAATTGAGAGACGATCTCTGTCACATTACATTTTGACAGCATGCCAAAGTGCAGCCACAGGCATCTGTAATACAATTTTGATATCAGAATGAAAACAAAGCGTTTGGCTCGTAGAATTTCCAGATCGTTTATACATCTGATAGTTATATCCAGAATATCCACGCATAGGTCCAATGGTAAATGCATGAGCGATTCAATCAGTAAATCCTCACACTTTATGCGCCATATTATCTACACATACATGTATATAATATTACTCACTAAGAGAGAGAGATTTAATTACATAAATATAATATATTAAATATAATGATACACAAGTATATAATCTCTCTAATGATTAATATAATTATAAAAATAAAATATAAATAAATATATATATATGCAATATATTTATACAGATAATGAATTAAATATGATTATTCTTATTTATCACAAAAATTACACATTTTTCTCTTCTGACTAAAGAAATTATCTAAATAAGCAATTTCTTTTACTACTATGTACATAAAATCATTTAATAAAATAATTTATAATTTTTAAATATACACATATTCGTACACTAGATATCTTATTTTAATTACTGTAGGCCTTGTATGTGTAAATCTCGTAAAATATGGAAGATACGGAAAAGCGCTTCAGACTAAAGTTGTATGATTTGAGGGGATATAAATAACAGAAAAATTAATTTTCGAAAAAATCAATTTTCCAAGATGATATGAAGGTCATCTTTAAAAAAAATAGAATCGTATCATTTTTTTAGCATAATTTTGCACATAAAAATATTAAGGCAAAACGATAGAAAAATTAATAACTTACGAAATATTTTGACGCATTTTGACATAAAACATAAAATATCTTATAAATTTTTTGACAATCGTTATTAATTTTTTGATAATACAGTACCTTAATACTTTTAGATACGGAATAATGAGATAAATCAATTGGTGTAAAAAAACATAATTGCTTTGAAATAAATATTGTAAAATACAAAATTTTTTACATAGGCAATTATTATATATTGTGTATTTTCGTTACCAATTGAATCATTTCATTATTCTGTGCATAAAAATATTATAAGATGCGATTATAAAAAAATTAATACATGATGAGATATTTTGTTTCCTGTCAATATATGCTAAAATGCAGTACAATTAATATAATTTGAAAATTATTAATTTTAAATATTTTTATATTAAAACTTTTAGACGTAGAATAATTAAAGATATTGTATTATACAAAAAATATCATAATTTTAAAAATGAAAAGTTCTTCAGTATCTTTCATATTTTGCGATATTTGCCTGTTGTAATTAAAATTGGATCTTTTGTGTTGTGTTGTGTATGTGTGTGCGTGCGTGCATGCATGCACATGCCCAAGCAGAACAAGTCATTATAACAAAACAATGTCAAAATGACTCCAAAATAATATTTTGGGATCATTTTGACGTTACTGTGACTTGTTGTTTTGCTTGGGTGTATGTTAGTATATTCAAAACAATAATTATATACATAAATTATATACAAAAAATCTAAACAAATTGAGAAAAAGTCGAAATGTAGTATTCAACATTCACTATATCTGTGAAATAATAAAATTAGCAAATTAATATTCTCATTATTAATATGAGGATTACCTGTATGAAGAGATATGGTGATAAAGTAGGCCAAGAATGGACTATATGGCCAAGCATTAAGTCCTCTGTAAGAAGGGACTGTGATTGAAAATTAGTGTTCAACAAAAAATAGTTGTAACAGCTAATAACGCCTGGTGAGATGTTGATACATGGTTTAGAACCGTCATTCTCATAGAATATTTTAATATTGTATATATTGAATTGTTTAACAATATTTGTAAGGGCTTCTAACAATTCGTTGACGAAACACGAAGTCTCATCTGTGGCCTGTGATAAAATAAACTTCAGCTGGCCATATTCTTGCTCCTTCTTGAATAAGAATTTTTGTACTTGCCTAGGTAACTCTAATATTAGATCCATCTTAAACAAAAACCTAAAAAGCATTTATGTATTATCCTACTTATGTATATATATGTTTATCTGAGTATAATAAAATGAATTTAATCTTAAAAATGTATAATAATAATATAAATAATAATATAGTATATAATAACATGACTATAAATATAATCCATATTGTGGATCAATGAAGAATATTTTAATCTTATTCTGGAATTATTTATCAAAGAACAAAAAGAAAAAATTTATCAGATTTAAATTATAGAAGTATAATCATTATAATGATAAAATGAAAAAAATGCATATATTAGATAAATTATTTTGTTACTTAAAAGATTTAGAAGTTTAGAGATTTATATAATATTAATATAATAAAAATATATAAAATAAAATCTAGACAATTACTACAAAATAAAAGTAGATTTTCTTTCTTCAACAGAATGTTTAAATATTGATAACTAAATAATGTAGCAATGTTTAGATAATGTAACAATTACATGTAATACTGTTTTATAATAAAAAATTGGATAATTATTCAACTAAGCTACGTCTTCCCAAAAGTTAATAATACAAAATACACAAACAAATTTTAACTTACCGAAACTTTTTATTTAACGAATATTTCTCATTTGAAACTTGTCCCTTTTACCATCATAATCAATAATTATCGAATTGCTAATGTCTGATCAAAATATTTGTAAAATGTAGATTTGTCAATATATCGATGATTTTTATGTTGTTTAAACGAAAAATTCATATGTATCTATTAAATGAATAGGACCATTGACTATATAAACATGGACCGCCAGTAGCGAACTAACCACTTCATACTGGTTATCAAACAGTAGCGACACCATTAGGGGTCGACAGGAGTGACTAGAGTCCTAGATTTATGGGCCTGCGCAAAATGGGTGCATTCATGGCTGTTCTCATGGTGTAATAAGGGCCATTCCACACAAACTTGTAGAGCCGCATAATCATAAGCATAAAGAAAATTATCCAATCACATTTCTGTCATAAAGACAAACGTAAACTACGATTGAATGATTTTCTTTATGCATATGTTTATGCGGCTATGCAAGTTATGTGGAATGGCCCTAAGACAAGGTGTAAAGGCCCGTCTACAATACAC